CTGGGGAGCTCCAACGAATCCTTTTCTGAGTCGTCGGACCTGTCTATGGGTAAGACACCATAGGTTTGTGGTCCTTGGTCGACGTCATTGGTTGAGAAAAGAGCGATGGCCTGTGATGGTTTCGTGAAACATACTGGCCCAGCTTCTTGACTCGGTACCAGGTTATCTGGGAGTCCTCCCAGAACTGGAATGCCTAGTTCAAAATCATGAAAATCAGTTTCTGAGTTTTCAGTTTGCGATGACTCATCATCGTTTGTGTGTGAGTTTACCCCCCCTTCGTCCGATGAGGGGTTGTTGGAGGCAACAACAGCAATGTCTTGGTGTGTTTCACCAACATCTGTAATGTTGTCATTCGCGCCTTCAGATTTAGTAGCGATCGCATCACTACATAGTGCTCCTGGTTGGATTCCCATTTCAGCGTTTTTCAAAGTTTCTACAAACCTTTGTAGTTTCTCTGTCTCCTCCGAGCTCAGAGGTGTAGGGCTTTGCTCCTGGGACCTTTGTGATTTTATCGCCTCGGTTCGTTTCGTCCGAGGTGGGGGAGGGTTAGGTACGTCTTTTGGGGGCTCCTCTTCGGATTCCCCCTGATAATATGGGTCCTCTTGGATCCCATATCTTTGCGTCCTACGCATATCCCATTTACGATCATCACGTTCATCCTCTGAAAGAGGAGCCTTTTTGTCCCAGCGTGCACCTTCATTACGTGATTTGTTAGTTTGAAAATACTGCCTTTTCTCGCCTGTTTTAGGAGGAGGTGGTGACGCACGCCGTCCTTCCATTTCTAGGGAGTGGGGTTTAACCTTTATACCAGGAAACATCTCTATGGGCGTCTTATCATGAGAACATGCCTCTGTCCTGTTTACAGCACACTGTTGCATGTTTTGTGGAGGAGACCTGTTCAGGTCTGTTCCTACCACTTTAGGTGAGGGTGGTTGGAGTAGTTTAAAAGCACCAGGTGAGTAAAAGATCTTTGGAGGTTTTGGTGTATTATCCCGACACTGTTCAAGGTCTTCTCTGGATTCCAGATTACCTCGCCCCACGTCAGAACTTTTATTTGTTGCTGCTCTTAGCTTCTCCTCACATGCTTTTAAGCGTTCCTGGGAGGTTTGACATTCACTTTGTAAACGCCTATATAGCCCCAGTAATGCTTTTTTATCAATTCTGTGTTCTTCCAGATCTTTTTTAAGCACATCTATTTCACCTTTGCAGCGGGAAACTTGTGACAGTGTCTCGTCGTGATCCCGTCTTAATGCAAAGTATTCACTGGACAACAGCTCTTTAGCATCCCTGGCTTCAGATAGTGATGCATTAAGTAACTGTATTTTGCTATTCAGCGAATCAATTTCTGCACGTGCATCTTGCTGTGATTGAAACATCTGTTCATAATGTTTTGTCAAGAGGACCTCGTTTTTGCTCTCAAATTGAAGGAAGTGTTCTTCAATTTTCTGAACCACCTCTTTTTCACTGTCTAACCTTATTGCAAGGTAATCAGCTTTCTCAACAACTGCATAGAATGATTCTTTCAGCAAAATTGCAATTTTGGCCAGCTTTTCATAGTTTGACATTGAAATTTTTGTAGAGGTCACACTCTTTGCAACCTCCTTCAGATTGTCCACTAACTCTTTTGGGTTCATGCTGTCCCACTGTTTGCCATATGGATGTAAGGATCCTGTCAGCAGTGCTAACGCATTCTCTAAACAGTCCCTCATCTCATAAGGATCAAAGTCTTTTTCTAACACACCTGTCATGTTTTTCACTGTGTAGCACTTTATCTGTTAAAAACAGTTGCAAGCTTCAGATATTTTACAGGTAACTAATTGTATTCAAGTGTCAATGAGTTTCACACTATTTTAGCTTTGGGTTTACACAAAAGTACTGTTATAAGTCAACTTATTCAAATGTGGGTACCTATTTGTAGGTTTTACCCCAATTCATGAATATTCTTAAGTAAATGCTTCTCTGGCAGTGTTACTTTTTATGTGCTTATTTCTTAACAGATACTAGATTACCAAGCTCTTTTTTAGTGTATTTTACTCTAAAGCACTGAATTTTTATAAACCTGCAATTTTTCTTTTTAGTCTCACAGCAATCATCAGTTTAAAACGTTTTTTAAACCGTTTACTTCCAGAAATTCGCTATTTTAAACAGCTACTCATCAACCAGGTGGTGAACAGAAAAAGAAAAATTGATGATGTGTCAGGATTAATCAGTCTTTCTTCAGAAAAACTGTTATTCCTGTTCTCCTGTCTCATCCTCTATTTAAAATTAAATAGGAAGATGTATTTTTAGGTGGTAACTTAAACAGAAAAGTTTCTTTTTCCTGATAAGTTTACTCTTATTTAGTGATTTTGCAATTAAACGTGTATTATCTTTCAAGCAAATGAGTAAACTTTTATCTCTGTGAATATCTGTAACTGTATCCTTTAAAAAGTTTCTAATTTTTCATTTTGTCCCTCCTGTTTGAGGAATTCAGTGAATGAAAAATGTCCTGGTAAATGCCTGTCTGCATAAATACCTTAATTACTTTTTAAATGCAAGATAACAGTGATTATTCAGCTTTGAGGAACGTTTATTAACTCAAAAATGCCTTACAGAAAGAAATAAGTTTAATTTCACTCAAAAACCTAAAACTGAAGTGAAACTGTGATCTCAAGTTTCCCAGGAGGGGGCAGTGTTTAGCTTTCTACCAGCAGGAGTCTATGACGACTTCCTGTGACGTTCGGTTGACATCCTGTTGTTAGCCGCTTAGCTTAAAGTTAGCTTCGGCTAAACTCGGTTAAAATCAACATTTCTGAACGGTATTAAAGCGTAAACGTGGCGTTTCTTCAACAAGCACGACTTTTAGCATTAACAATGAGTTTTCAGGGACATGTGGCGTTTTATCATTTAGTGATTTTAAGCACAGCAAAGCTTTCGGTTCAACCAAGCTTTACAATCTGACATGGAGGAAGTGACGTAGCACGTCACTCATCCGGTCGTTAGCTGTTAGCTTAAAATTAGCATCGCTAGCGTTGTTCAAAAACATCATTTAATGACGGATTTTAAACTCTAACGTGGCAAAAATCCAGCAATTACCCTTTGAAGAACTTAAGCAGCGGATCAAAATCAACTTTAAAACGCTTTTCAGCTTTAAAAAGCAGATTTTAATTCCCTATGAAAACGAGTTTTCATTTCCGGGTCACTGACTGACACGTCTCTCAGCCAATGAGAGCGTTACACAGCAGCTAATTCAACCAATCACGCAGCGTTTTCCCAACTAGCATGTTAGATTTATCTGAACAAGTCCGTCAACTTTTCTGTCTTTTAAACTGTCAAAGTGCACTTTTTCCTGTTAAAAATGTAATCAATAAGCTCCCAGCTGCACGGAGTCGGCGCCCCGGTCTCAAAAACGTCTTTCTAGCTATTTAAACAACTCGTTCGAACTTTTTCAGAACCGAGCCGGACCCAGATCAGCGTCTGGAACACGGTTTAAACAGAAATAAAGCGTTTCCACAGCTCAAAGCCAGCTTATGTTACACATAACAGACGTACAATTTCAGCTTTAAAAAGACTCAATGACTCACAAGTTCAGCTTCAGAGCATTAAGCGTAAACATACAGCGTTTTTCTCCAAGCGCGCAGCTTCAGCTGCGTTTCAGCACAGCAAACAACTCTGTTATTTTTCATGCCAACACGTAATATTCAATTATTACACGCATACACAGTCCATTTATGAGCACGTTACGGGCCACCAATATGTAGTATGACATATCCTGAGATATATTCATACATTAAACGGGTTCA